TGTATCTGCAACTGTACTTGATAATGTTTTGAACTTTTAAAATATTGCATGGTAAAAACAGAAGCTGCACTTCATATTAGTGACAAACTTTGGTGTTTTTTGACAAGTTACTTTCGTTTTTGCTTTCTGCTTTTAATTTAAAATACGTTTCCATTCTCGGAAGGTTTCTAAGGTTCTTCTTCTACATATTAAATAATTTGTTAAACAACTGAGTGGCGCACTACCGCTACTAGTGGTGAGAAGGTGCATTACACCTTATTCAAAATCAATGCGGCCCCACGGCCCTCTGTGGCCCAAAGTTAAAAAATGTTGTTCTTTTGAGGCCCTCAAGGTGGCGCTCGCGGCCTAATTGTGGGCCGCGGCCCATAGGTTAAGAATCTCTGTCTTAGACTATACCCATTCAAATATTTTATTTTTCTTTTAGTTTTTGAAATAAAAGGTTGTTCTGAAACTTTTGACTCGTCCTGTAAAGTGGGGGCAAAAATAGAGGGGGTAAGAGATCTGATTGGTCACAGCAGACAGAAATTTATCAATTCTGATTCAAGAGCTGACTGAAACGGATACTCTGGAACACAGGGTTTCTGCCAGGTCTTTAAAATTCTGAAGTCTGAAATTTGAAAATCCAAATTTTAGGCCTTAAACAGTTTTAAATTTACTGAATTATCTTAAATCATTTTAAATAGGTCTTAATTTTCTAATTCCCATGTAACGCTACCTCAAATGCTCAATAAAATGCTACTGCATCACTTTTATTAACTGAATATGCTGTATTTATTCATGTATAATTCTAGAAATTTACTCAAAAAATCATTCATAAAGTGGGGGGATAGTATTATACACAGGTTATTGATAATTAGATTTTTATGCTTTGTAAGATCAAAAAATGATGATCATATTATACATGAATAAATACGGTAGTTACAAATGTGCAACCTATGTTGCAGCCATATATCAGCTTTTGTGGTATTGGTGAGTCCACATCACTGGATGTGGAAAAAGAAGAGCAGCTGTGGCTAACATGGAAAAATACTAATTTAACAACATTCAACTTCAAATGAACAAGTTTAAGGCTTGGTTAAAGCCCGTTTCTAACATTGACTTTGAAGCCTACGGCTGCTTACTCAAAAACAAAAACATAAAATTGGGTACATTGTGTGTACGAGTGGTGGYGTGGCATTCAAAAACAAACATGTTACAGCTGTGAATGGACTGAGACAGATGTTATCTATCAGACAGTTCTGCTGCTCTAGCCCACACTGCCTTGGAAAGATGACAGCTCTACAATTCCCATTAGCGACTTCTGTGTTGCCTTCAGATCAGAGCCTACARTACGAGTGGAGGTTCTCTGGATTCTGTGCACGGAAACTAAACGCCACCCGAACAGCAGAAATGACAAAATAGAGGACTTGTTTCAAGCCTTGTTTCTGGACTCTGACACCTCAAAGTCATTTAAGTGTGGAAAAGATAAAACTGCACACATGACCCACTTTYAATTAGCAGGCTTTATGAAGAGAGAACTAATTTCTAAAGTGACCGCATCATTTGTACTTAKATTCGATGAAAAACCAAACAGCTGGGCCTACACCTATGTTTTTGGGAGGGCGGACAGGTACAGTCCTGGGATCAGTTCATGGGGCATACAACAGCCAACAACTTATTGAACCACACTGCAGTAGCGCAGAGGCTGAGTGTGACTGTGTTACCACAGTACCCCTCACAAAAGAACTCTGGAACTCAGTGGCATCGGCCAGGACCAAATACCATCTCTGCTTTGAGACAGAGAGAAAGAAGGAGTCCTTGCATGGAGCCAAAAGAGAAAGGTGACTGAGGACTACTTGGAGGAACTCAAGGAGGAGGAACATTTTACAGTTGCTGAAACTCTTCCAAAGATGCAGAGAAATTTGCAGAGCAGGGCGAAGGCAACACCGGCTCTGCTGTCAGTGTGTGTTGTGATATAGGTCTTAAATTTAATTCTTAATGGTCTTAAAATGTCTTATAAAAGTCTTAAACTTGAGTTGTTGAAACCTGCAGAACCCCTGAATCAATCAGAAGCAACACTTGGTGTCATTAAACTTGACTGGGGAAAGACAGGCAGTTGAAGTTTTTTTTTTATCTTTAGCTAAGCATCCTTTCATTACCTCTGTCTAAAACTAGTCTGTGAATGTTTTATAACTAAATGCTTTCTGATTTACATTTTTGTTTAAAAAAAAACAGGAATGGAAACTGAATTATTTGCATTACTGCTTAAGATATTCTATTCAATAAAATGAAATTATCTTCTCCATAATCATCAAATTCCTGACAGTATGTTTCCAATCTTACAGGTCTTCAGTCAGAAGGTCTGTACAGAATATCAGGCTTCAGTGAGCTGATAGAGGATGTCAAGCTGGCCTTTGATAGAGGTGAGCGTCAGTTCTAAATCATCAAACTCCTTTTATTTTTATCATTTGATGTTCCTTAACCGTTTCTCCCACAGATGGAGAAAAAGCGGACATTTCCTCAAACGTTTACGAGGACATAAACATCATCACCGGTGCCCTCAAGCTCTACTTCAGAGAACTGCCTATTCCCCTCATCACTTATGATGCCTACCCACGATTCATAGAAGCTGGAAGTAGGTGTTCGTTCATGCATTTTTGGCTGTTTTAAAGTGAACAAAACTATAATAAAAGTTTGTCCTGTGACAACGTTTCAGTCTGATTTAGAGGAAAACGAGGGGTGAACATATGGTAAAACTAATCACATTGTCAGAATTACAAAGGATTGCGGATACAAAACATTCGTTGACAATAAATTTGGAAATTAGCAACTGGATGTGGGCAATGTATTGAGTGTACACAATATATTGTCTAATTTTTTTTTTTTGCAATAATAAAAGTTGCTGTTGCGGATGTCAAGTATACACAACTAGTTTCTCTTTTCCCAGGCGCTTATCACTGCTTTCTCCCCTTCCAATCCTGAAAATTTGCGTTAGGTTGTAGCTTTCAGTTAACCAATAATGCTGTGTTTAAAGAAGGATTTTAAAATATTGCAATATATGTTATACATTATAGCTTTGGTCATACTGCTGGGCCGTGTATGAACTCAGTTTTTCAGAGTATTGTGCAGCCCTGTTGAACTATAAGATGAGAGGCCAAAAAACGTGCAAAATGTTGTTTGTAAAATGCTAAAATTACTGTATTTATTCATGTATAATCCTAGAAATTTAACCCTAAAAATCATCCATAAATTAGAGGGCTAGTATTATACACAGGTTATTGGTGATTAGATTTTTTATGCTTTTTAAGCTCAAAAATGATTATTGTATTACACTTGAGATTGTGTTATACATGAATAAATACGGTAGTTCTTAATCATGCTGGGAGCCAACGAAAGTATTTTAAAGTATTCTAACTGCCATAGTTTTTTTTATTTAGTGTTTAACCTTTAATGCACATGTGTTTCAGAAATTACAGATTCAGAAAAACGGCTGGAGTCTCTCCACGAGGCCTTGAAGCTGCTGCCCCCGGCTCACTTTGAGTCGCTGCGATACCTCATGGCTCACCTGAAGAGGTCTGAACACAAACCGAAGCCAGAGCGTCGTTTCGCCTCATCCATCCTACAGCAACAGTTAAGTTCTCTTCACGTTTCGCCTTTTCTGATTTTGAAAGCGTCTGTTTCTGATTGTTCAGAGTTACTGATTACGAGAAGGAGAACCTCATGCCCAGTGAGAACCTGGGTATCGTCTTCGGCCCGACGCTGATGAGGGCCCCCGAGCTGGACGCCATGACGGCGCTCAACGACATCAGATACCAGAGATTGGTGGTGGAAACGCTCATCACCAACGAAGACGTCTTGTTCTGAGAGAACCGGACAAAAGGAATCCTTCAAAACGAGGGACAGACTCCGAAAAGAAGCTAGAATGTTCTTGTAGAAGAAAAAATGTGATCGATACTCCAAGTGTGTCTTGGTAAAAAAAAATGGACAAATGAAGGAAGAAGAAACGGATTGAAGGGTATGGTGTTTCTCTACAGCGTAATGTAATTTTTCTGGTCCTAATGTTTGACAAAAATTGATTGAAACAGCTGTTACCAGAGAAAACAATGGAAGAAATAAAAAAAACTTGGATTTATGTTTTTTTTTTTCTTAAATGGATACCTTGACACTTTTAAGCTCATTGTTTCACATTTGATGCAGTAATAAAATAGTCTAATATTCTTGTGGAAAAACATTTCCACATTTTGACATTTCCTGGTGGGTAAAGTTTGTAAATTATGGACTCCAAATGCAGCGCGGGTCAAACAGTACCAGTTTTACCAGATTAAATTAGAAAATACCATTAAACAAACCTATTATCGTAAACATTTTGACTCGTTTACATTCTTGGCGTCTTTTTCTTTGTTGTCAAGGTGTCCATTTAATCCTCTAAAGAAAAAAAAAAGCACCACAGACTTTGTGAAAGTAGACAGCAGGATGAATGAATGATGAGGGATTCACTCTTTCATAATAAGGCATGTATTCATTCCTCAGAGTGAAACTCAAGTGATCTGGACCTATTTCGTTTTTCATTCCTCTTTTTGCTTTACAGCGCCATCTCTGCTCCAACACTTATGACACAGCATCTTCATTCAAAAAAATAACTTGTAGATGTCGAGATGGAAAAATCTTATTTTGTCGTTTTAGCAAATTTTAAAGCATGGTTGCTGTAATCACACCTGCTGATGGAGCTGCTAATCAGGATTTTTATTTTTGCCTGAGTCTCTTTTTTTCCATTTTGCCTGCTTTTGTTGAGCTTAAGAGTCTGACAAATGACTCGTAAATTCAGTCGGTTAAAAGGACTGATTTGTGACCTTTCACATCCTTGAGTTTGAGATTTTACTGTTTGTTCAAAGTAATATTGCAGTTAAACCGTGTGATGAAGTAAAATGCAGGATTTCTTTCCTGGTTGAAGTTGAGCTCAATGAAGTGTTAAATGACTCTGCGTGTGTGAAACAGAATATTCATGCAACCGATAGTTTAAATCTGTGAAGGACGAATTGAGTTGATTATTTTTGCCTGTAGACCCATTTTGAAACACCTCAAAAAGCTGTAATATTTTTGACAACACACTGATGCGATGGTTTTATTAATGCTTTTAAAAGAGGTTGATCATTTCTAATATGAAGGAGTGTAATTGCCATATTTTCTTTTTAAAACTTGTGCCATCTGAAAGATTAAAAGGTGCCCGCCTTACATTACCCCGTTCTTTACAGAAATCTTCCCCCATTTTTGTCGGGGGTCTCCGTTAAGGTCGTGATGACCCAGACAGTATCTGTGCAGAGTTAAAGGTAGAGGAGAGGAAATACAGAATGAAGGAAACCTCAGCTTTTCTTTTATCTAACCTTTTACATTGTCGAATTCTGTACTAACATCAATCTAACCCTGTGAACCTCAGTGATCTGTGACACCTACTTTTTTTATTATTATTTCAGCGTCATGAAATGTTGATTTTTATTGTCATTGCTGTAAAGTATTTTCCATATGGTTTATGCATGGTGGAATTAAATTATTAAAAACTGCTTTCAATTGATGTTCTTTGTGTGGTTTATCATTGATAAATTTGGTGTATAGAATGAGATCAAATGACAAATATGAGGCATAAATTAAACAAAATATGTCCAAATGTGAAAAAAGAAAAATAGAAACACACATCTGAAAAGTAGTAACTAAATTATCACTAATATTCATATATTAATACAACTTGTACGCAGTTTATCAAAAAAAATTCTTTGATTTTTTTCAGTTCTGTTTAATATTGACAGATCACACAACAAACAAGCAAAAGAACCCCCCCCCCCAAAAAAAAAAAAAAAACTACAAATGCCAATATTATATTAAATATTAGCATTGCTAAAATTTCCAACTATCCAGATTTTATTTTAAAAAAAGCTTCATATTCATTTAAGTCATCGATATAATGAACTTAAATCATTCCAAAAAGCGCTTTAAAAGTTTAGTTTGGTGTTTGTTTAAATAAAAGTCATTTGTAAAACGCGGTGAATTCCGCTTCTTCTTTGTCCTGGTTTGTACCACGTGACGTAGCAGGTCCAGGCAAGCAGCAGGTCTTCAGAAGACATCTCATCGTCCGGAGGGCGGACGGACCGTGTTTTGTCGGCCATACAGCGGTTATTAACGCTTATTTGTTGGACTTCTTGTTGAATTTTGTTTGATCAATTGTAGCGACAGAAAAAAACCCATACTTATTTTTCTTTTAAGCCGTCGCGGACAAAAAGGACTGCCAAAAAGAAGGAGTTTCATCGACGTTCGTCGAGTTCGAACGTGGTTCCGGAGAAATTGTTGGTCAACTACAGTAAGGTAAGATGTTTTCACGTTAAAATATCGGTGAATTGTCGCTTTTCCTCTGGGCCTTTACATTTTTTTTAATGTTTGATTTTAATTTAAGCTAACGCTGAAACCGCCAGTGCTGTGGTAATAAGCTATTAGCTAATGCTAGCATGTTAGTAACTGCGTCATGTTTTACAAATAACGAACTAACTGAAAAGAGTCTCGTTGTCAACGAGAAAAAAAAGTTTATTAATTTTGTTTTTCATAACTACTAATTTATTATTTGAGGAATATCACTTTTATTGCCGATAAATTGGTCTAACCATGTGGGACCTGCACGTGCCGTGGCCCCATGCTAAGGTTGACGTCAGAAATAGTCTAGAACAATCGTCTGTCCGAGGAGAGAGGAGAGGACATGGCGGCATACGGCACAAGACAACCTGGAGTCAGATTATGGTTTCAAGCTGCAGTTTTAGCAGTAAAAATATACTTTCTAAATACAGGTTAAATATGTTATTTCATCCATCAACACAGAACTTGTTTGCACGCATTTGTAATCGGGTCAGAATAATGCAAGTCTTTGAAGTGAAAGTGTGGGATATTGAAATAGAGTTGATTTAAAGTGGTCCTATTTATTTATTTATTTATTTATTTAT